AGAAAATCTCTGTATAGTCCTAGCTAGCCTGGAACTCACTATGTAGACCAGGCTGGCCTCAATCTCAGAGATCCACCTGCTTCTGCCTCCCGAGTGCTGGGATTAAAGGCATCCGCTACCACACCCGGCTAGGATACGCCTATATTTAAGCAAAACAAATTTTTTACATTTATGTATTTATTTTGTATGTTGTGGGGAGTGGGGCGTGCATGCCATGGTATGTGTGTGGAGGTCAGAGAACAACTTGCATGAATCAGTTCTTCGGATCATGTGGATTCCAGGGCTGGAACTCAGGTTTCTAGGCTTGGGGGTGGGCACTTTTATCCACTGAGCCATCTTGCCCACCCTATGTTCTTATTTATTTATTTGAAAAACCTGTATTCTAATGTTCTACACTAATTGCCTGGGTTTTAATCACCTGCACTGAGTGGCACCTGAACTCGGGATGCTGAGTGGCTGTGTGGATAAAAGCAAAAGCTCTGGTTGGTGATATCCATTTAAAGGCTGGTGAAGAGGCTCCGCTTGTGACCAATTTCAGCCTACCCACGTGATGTTACTGAACCTGAACGTAGAATTGGGAATACATCCTCACTATAGGCTCTCATGAGCTGGTGGGAGCTGGCTCGCTTCTTTTCTTTATCAATCAATTCATTTAACGATTGCTTTGTTCATTCAATACATCAGTGTTGGGTGTCTACTGTAAACCTGTGTCCAAAACCGTTGGAAATAAACAGGCATTGTTGTTTCTGGAAACTTTAACACAGGTATCAGTGATAGGTGAGGTAGAGATTAAGTGCTTAATTAATTCTATAAAGCTTTCCTAACATACAGGATTTGTTTCCTGTAAGGCTTAGCTTTTCAAAAAAAAAAAAATTGAGGGCCCTTCTGACTGCTGCTCCCTGTTTATGAATAGGTTCACGTCTCTGAAAGGCTGAGTTGCCTGAGGGAATTAGGCAGGAAATCGGTTTTGGCTGAGAGGTGATTAACAGTGGCCTCATATCCCCCACTCAAGTGGCCTTCTTGAGCCAAGCCAACTGGCTTCTCTGTGGTGTTTACAGCCCAGCCACCACCACCTGCGGTCAGCAAGTAAACAAAATCTGTCCCAGGAAGGAGGACAGGGAACACGCAGGTGTGAATGGCTTCTCTTCCTTCGTCCCCTCTCCCTCTGGAGCAGTGGGAACTTGGCTTGGCCGCTTGTAAATCATTCCAGCAGTCGGGCTGATGGGGAAGTCACTGAGCCGCCCATGTGTTTCTGTTTTGCATGCTTCCATCTGGCAGGGTCCACTTGCCTGCCTTCCCCAGCCCTGTCCTCCCTCCACATGCTGAGAAACCAAGGTTGTGGGCAGACTGATTAAGGGCTGGAGACTTTGCCAGATGGCTGCATTGTGATGTTGGAGCAGAGGCAGGAGTGACAGAAGCATTCAAACTCAAGTAGCTTTCCAAGGCCCCCCAATGTCATATACATCCATGGAAAGTCTCCATAGTAACCATTCTCTCTTGGTAACATGTTCCTGTGCATAGAGAAATGAGTGGAATTTACACCCGGCGGGATCTGCACGCAGAGAGATTCAGTAGAACTTCTGAGTGGTTTGGGAGGTGGGCGGGGGGTCCTTACCAGAGCACTCTTTGGGTTACTTTATCATTGAAGAAGTAATATCCAAGCACAGTAAAATAAATTCAAATGTTGCAAAAGAGGGTACAGTGAAAAACCAGGCTTCTTCTCACCCCACTTTTCCAAATTTACCCCTTCCAGAGGCAGCCATAATGACCAGTTTCTTATGCATTCTTTTTGAAATAATACCTTCGGAAAAAAAGAACCTGGCTATGTAATAAAATACTTTGGGATATTTTTTGTTTGGGCCACTGACCACCTTGGGAATTGAGTTAATTAGTAACTATGGATCTTACCAAAGATACAACATACCATTTGTGTTAGTTAGCCTACTTGTTGTTAAATGCTTGAAATAAACAACTTGAAGGAAAGCTTTACTTTGGCTCATAAATTTCAGACGCTTCCTTCCATCCTGGCTGGCTCTGTTGATTTGTCTGTGGTAAGGCAGAGCATCAAGGTGCTGGTGAGGGTGAGGAAAGAATGATATACAGAAAGAGTGAGACAGTAAGGGCAACAGAGAGCCGTAGCACTAAGGCCCAGCCCCCAGGGACCTACCTCCAGCCAGGCTTCCTGAAGCAAGCCCCCAACAGGTGTGCCTTTTAGTGAGGGCACTTGTATCCAAATGTCACAACTTCATTGAAGTTGCCAGGTGATCAGCCTGACTCAGAGGAGGAACCTATCTTGTAAATGTTACCACAAAGTCTTGCATGCACAGAGGTTTCACATGTAATAAGAGTAACTTGGACTAAATGACTAAATGCAAGATCTGGTTATCATTTGTGAAGGAATATGGCCAGTATTACTTGACAAAGCCTGTATATTCAGAGAAATGTGAGTGTTGTGTGTGAGTGTGTGTGTGTATGGGTACACGTGCATTCCTCTATATCATCAGGAGGAGGTACCAGATGGTGAGTTTTTCATTTTTTGTTTTTTTCTTAAATCAATTTTTCTTTATTCTTGAGAACTTCATATATGTATACAATGAGATACCATATTTACTTCCCTATTTCCTCCTCCAACTCCTCACGTTTCCCTTAACATGTTCCCCCTCCCATCTTCACTTTTAAACAAACAAAACCCCCACAAAAGAACAAAGAACCGCGTTAGTTCCCAGATATCTGTAAGGGGGTTGGTGTGCATGCCATAGCACTCATGTGGCAATCGGAGAATAACATTATGGAGTCAGTTCTCTCACTTTAGCTTATATGAGTTCCAGGTACTGAACTCAGAACGCCAGGCTTGCATGGCAAGCGACCTACTGAGCCATCTCGTCCCTGGTTGATGGAGTTCTGTAGTGTCAGTTTTCTCCCCTACAAGATGAAAGCATGACATTAATGCCATTACTGGGCTCACATTAGGTGACCAGCCCCAGCTCTTTGATAGCATGGTCTATGATTAGAGCATGCTGTGTCTCCAGTGGCTAGACAGTCTTGTCACATGGCAAGTGCAGATGTGCTGCGTGGCTCACAGAATGCTTTGCGTAGCTTGTTATATGGTATACACACGCTCTGTGACTGCCAGCTATAACTAGATAATGCCCCTGGGTGTTAGTGAACACCACCTAATTGCTTCAGACCATTATCATGGCTGCTCTGTGAGAAGAAGAGCACCACCACATGTGATCCCACTGCCAGCAGACAGCAGAGCTGGAATTAAATCCCAGCGTGTCTCATGCCGAGCCTCTGCTCTCTACCTGCGCCTGCCACTACCCCACTGTGTGACTTCTTTGTTGCCTTTGATGTTCCCTGTGACCCCTTTTGCATGGATGCAGATTGGGGGAGTGATGGGAGAAAGGATCCCGGGTTGCTACCTCTTCGGGCCGCTCCCCATGTAAGGATGATGGATGTGTTGCCATGGGTTCAACAGTGAATGGGCAGATTCCCAGGGAGCAGCTCTTGCCTCATTTCTTGAAGGATTTAAGTGAGTCCTTCAGTTCTTCATGGGTTAAGTACGAACCTCTTGCTTTCTGCCTGGCTGGCCTGCTTGGGTTCCTCTGTATGATTTTATTTTATGATTTATTTTTCTCATGTTCTTAATGATGAAGAATAGGTTGGAGAGTAGCATGTGAGGTCCTGGCCACCCAGCCTTCTGGGTCCCCCACCCCCGCCTCTTATTGATCTCTTCCTCTGCCAGTGCTAACATTTAGCAAATTAGATCAGCTGAGGCTTTTAGGATAAATGATTGGTGTGTGTGCAGGGGAAGGCAGCTAGGTGACTTTAGTGTGGTGGCAGGGAGGGCCACCAGAACCTCATTCTCAGAAAGTCCCCATCGACAAAGCTGGTGTCCCTAGTCACATGCTGGGCTTGTGCTTCTTTTTCAACCCCCCATAGAACTACAACAAGGCTGAGGTAGGGCACCTCAGCCTGGGGTGAGTCACCAAGAGATATGGCGAGGGGAAGAAGGAGAGTGGCCCCCAAATCTTTCCATAGAAAAGCTCCGTGATTTGTATAATTTATTTTCCATCATGCTGCACAGTTTAGGTTGATCTCTGTCCTGTTTGACCCAGAGGCTTGTTCACTAATGCCAAACCAACTTGTGACCCTAGTCTTGAACTCTCACTAGTTCCTAAGGGGAACTTTCCAGTCACTGCGTGTAATATTGGTGTGCATAGGATTATCAGCTGGTTTGTGGTCCAGCTCTCTGTGTGACCAACATTGTAGCCATTAGGGGAACCTGGGGTGGTGAAAGAGGCCCCCATCAGCAGAGATGAGCAGGTAGCTTGGGAAAAGGGTGCCAGTGGCAGCCCTGGCTCTGCTCTTACCTGTGTGCATTAGGCAAATAATTGTGATTCCTGCTTTTCCCCCTCCATCTTTGCTGTTGAGAGGACACCTTAACTGAACACTGAACACTGAGGGCTAGTTGCTGCTGCATCAGCTTGGGGGTTGTAGTTGGGAAGTTTTGGGGCTTCCTGGCATAGGAATGAGGTCAGCCAGAGATGGAGTCTGAGAAGGGCTACTTACTGCCCACCAGAATCTATGATGTCATTCCTGAGAGTGTCACAGACTCTTACCTAAGGGCAGAACCTGGGCAGGCATCCCAAGGGGACGGTGGTAAGTGGAAGTTGAGTAGCCTAAGAGAGAAGACCTGCGATTTACAGTGGCAGAGACTGAGCTGAAGATGCTTTAGGTTTGGGGCACTCAAGGGGATGAGAGTTTGAGTGATATGCTGCCAGGGTCCTGGGAACTGAGTCCTGGGCTCCTCCTCCCCAGAGCCTGGAGCCCACAGCCTGAAGGTTGTACTTATCGCACTGTATGAAGGATGGCAGCCCTGTCTGTCATAACAACTCTGGAGAGCGATCAGAAGGATACATCCCGTTTACACATGACCACAGTTGATGGTGCCAACATCTCTTCAGAAGTGTGACTAGCCGGTCCGACCAGCCTGTCTGTAGGGTACCACCAGTTCCCTGGGAGATAAAATGAGATGACAGAGAAGACATATGGTCTCCTTCCATCCTCAGACACGGTCTATTGAGAGCTAACTGACCATGTGCCACACAGTCTGCAGACACTACTCTTCTTTCATTCCCACATCACATTGTAAGGTCAGCACCGTCATGAGTCTCACTTTATAGGTGAGGAAACAGCTGCTGTACCCTTCTCTCCCCACCATCATTGATGGCAGTTAGTGAGTGAGCCCTGGGGTTAGATAGTCATTAGCGGAGCACTCTAAGCACCTGTGTCCAGTCCATCAGTGGCTGTCAGGGCTGATGAAAGGTCATGAGTTACAGTGACTACTCCTACGCTCAGATCCTGCTCTTCAGCAGGGCAGGTGCCTTGGTTTGCTCATGTCTCCATCCTTAACAACTAGCATTGTTCCTAGCACATAGCTAGAACTAATAAATGCCTGTGGGTTGAATGACTCTTATCGCATGGACATGAATTACAGTTGGTCCTCTGTGCCCATGTTTGCTTCTCTTGAACATAGAGATTTTTTTCTTATCATTATTCGTGAAACAACGTATATATAATATATATGGTCTTTACATACCATTTACATTTTTAAAAATTGTTTTAATTTTGAGACAGGGTCTCCCTGTAGCTCATCAGGCTGGCCTGGAGCTCACTATGTAGATCAGGTGCCCTCAATCTCACAGAGATCCACTTGCCTCTGTCTCCTGAGTGCCGAGATTAAAGGTGTACACCATACCTAGCACCATTTAAAATCTTTAAATTATTTATTTTCTGTATGTCTGTGCCTGAGTGTATGTATGTTTACCATGTGTGTACAGTGTCTGTGGAAGCCAAAAGAGAGCATCAGATCCTTTGGAGCTGGAGAGACAGGTGATTGTGAGCCACCATGTGGGTGCTGGGAACTGACCCTAGTCCTCTGGAAGAGTAACAAGTACTGAACTGCTGAGCCATCTTTCCAACCCCAGAATTAATATTTCATTTGGTGTTATAAGTAACCTGGAGGTGATATAAAATATACAGCAAGACATGAATAAGTTATGTAAATAGCACACCATTTTATATATATATATGGGGTTGGAGTGTCTGTGATAATGGTTTCCTTGGGAGTCTGGACCCAAGTATCTGTGGATACCTAGGGATGGATGGCTGTACTTAAGGGCAAGGATTAGGTGTGTCTGGATGATATCCGGAATACAGTAAAATCTCAGTGAGTGAAAGAATAAAATAATCTCACACAGATCTTTTGTATTTAATACTGGAATCTATAACCAAGGGGGAAAGATGATCACACAGGCTTAGTTGCGTATGTTTACCAGACAGCTGCCTTGCTGGCTTAGGGCAGTTGGGAGTATTAGGAATGCAGTCAGCTGCTCAATGCTACCTTTCGTCTCCAGACACAAGGGCACTTGTCTTTCGTTTAATCATCTAACAGCCCTGGTGAGTTACATGATCATTTTTATTTTAGAAATGAGGAAACTGAAGCTCAGGGTAACATGAGGGATTTGTTGAAGAACATGTGACAGTTAGGAGTGTTAAAGCTGAATCTGGGTCACCTCACCTGCATGCAGGTGTGCTTTGTCTGAGTCTTTGGTTGGGGAGGCCTTTAAGAGTCCTAGTCTGAGTTTCCCTAGTTCGTAAACTCTTAACCTGCAGCCCCACAATGAGCTTAGGAATTCCAAGGGCACTGAGATTGTGTGCCCCATCTCACACACAGTGTATTTCTCTATAGAGGGTTCTGAGCTTGCATTGGGCCTTCACAAAAGGGTTCATAGACCCATAACAAGGCGAAGAACCAGTGAACAAACCAACTGTGCCTTTTTGCATATGGGCCTGTGCAGGGGACTTTTCCAGAACCATAATCTTTGACCAGAGATTCCGTTTTTCCTATCAACAGAGGACTGATTACAGTGAACAGTAACCTCAGCTACATCATCGAACCTGTCCCTGACAGCGAGGGCCAACACCTTATTTACAGATCTGAACATCTCAAGCTGCCCCCAGGGAACTGTGGGTTCAAACACTCCATGCCCACCACCAAGGACTGGGCCCTTCAGTTTACACATCAAACCAAGAAAGGACCTCATAGGGTGAGTTTCCAGACTTTCCGTGGAGCCAGCAGACTAGGCTGGCTGTGTCCTCTCTGAACATACTTACTTTGAATCTGGGAGTATTTCTAGATTGAGGAAGAATGGGTAAAGAGGATGAAAATCAGCCCTTCTTTTCCCTTCCCTTCCTTCTTCTCTCCCTCCCTCCCTCTCTTCTCTCTCTCTCTCTCTCTCTCTCTCTCTCTCTCTCTCTCTTTCCCTTTCTTTCATTCTTTCCTGTAATTATTGAGTGAGGTACTTTCATAAGACAATCACTGTTTATATTTAAAATACTTTGAGATTTTGATTTCAGAAACTGTGAAAGACAGAAAAACAGTCTGCTTCCCTTTTTGGAATGTCCACATCATCTAATGCACAAAATGTTATTTGTTCACACTGAAAATGGAGTCTGTGGTCTAGAGGTTATTTGGGGACTAGGCTGTCAGCATGTTTCCTTGTGGGATGCTGGCCTCCGTTTTGTCTGTCCCAACCAGCTTGGCCCCTTCTATGTGAGAATAAAGGACTAGATCTCATGGCTCGAAGTGGCGTCCAGCAATAACCAATTGCAGATGGAGGGAATACGCTGCAGCTAGGACCATCTCTAATGCCCAAATTAATAAGAAATGAGAAGGTCACAGCTTATTAATCACTTAGATTTCCCAGCAGTTTTTTTGACATGGGACAGAGCTGAAGGTTTCTAAGCTCTAATCTGCTTCCATCTCTTCCTCAGATGAAGAGGGAAGATTTACACTCTATGAAGTACGTGGAGCTGTACCTGGTGGCTGATTATGCAGAGGTAAGGGGGTTTCAGCAGAAAAACTCTGCTCTCTTCCATTCAGCTTTGCAGCTGATTTGGGGAAATACACTCATCTTTCTATGGTTTATCAAATAATTTTGGCCTTCAATCTGACCAACGGCTCTTTAGTCATTTTAAGCAGAGCCAGGAAAAAACTAAGGGGCTGGACATGGTGGCAGGAGACAGAGGCAGGTGCATATCTGAGTTTGAGGCCAGCCTGATCTACATAGAAAGTTCCAGGCTAGCCAAGGCTACATAGCCTCTCTCTAGAAAGAGAGAGAGACCAAGAGAACCCCCAAAATGAAAGATAAGAAAGCCTCTCCTGGGGCTGGAGAGATGTCTCAGCGGTTAAGAACACTGGTTGTTCTTGCAGAAGACCCGGGTTTGTATCCCAGTACCCACATGGCAGCTGACAACTGTCTGTAACTCCAGATCCAGGGGATCCGACAGCCTCTTCTGACCTCCGAGGGCATTACACGACATGGGTGCACTTACCTACATGCAGACAATACATGAATACACGTTTTTTTTTAAAAAGCCTCCCCTAGCACAGTATACCAATCAGATGGAAAACCAGGGCACCATAATCATAGGCATTTCTCAGACAGGATCTGAAGATCCCTTAGCTGATACTCTTAGCAGGGTCAATGAGTCTCCAGAGAAAATTCTAGAATTCTATTTTATAAAGGTAGTAAGTGTAGTCTTCAGTATTGCATTGGATATCATTTTTTTTGCTCACCTGCGAGTCCAGTTTTATAAGCATATTGGTGTCAGATGAGACCTTGATGCCGTTGTTCCCAAAATGTGGTCCCTAGACCAGCAACCTTTATGGTACCTGGGAAAATTTCCGGATCTACTGAACCTGAAACTGTCAGGGTAGGGTCCTACATATTTGAACAAGACATCAGGGTGATGTTGATACACTAGCGAGCTTGGGAACCTAAAGGAAGAGCTGGGTAGCCTTTAATTCATATTCCTTAAGTTGGACAGACCCTAAGAGTTCACGAACACCCACCTGCTTGCTCGTTCGTTTCATTTGTTCCTTTGTGATTTCCTGATTTTCTGTTATGTGCCAGCATAGTGCCTGGCATCAGGATGCAGCTAAGAGCTACACCTGGCACATCAGAGTTTGCAGCATCAACACGAAGACCCTGTAGTTCCAAAGTGACCAGCCTTCGGTGAGGATTAGAACACACAGAAAGGGAAGTCCAGTGTGGTTTGGGGACTTGTCTTTGAGGTGTGATAGGAAGTTTAAGTGGCAATCGCAGAATCTGAGGAGCTCGGCTTCCCCCAGCAGTCTTCCCAGTGTGATGGACTGAGCGCACAGTTTATTCGCCTCCATTAACCAGATGTTACTGCTTTCAAGTCCCACTTTATGCAGCATCTCAACCATAGCCAAGCGTCCTTCTGCACCTTGGCCCCCGGGGTTCTGAACATTATCATCCTGAGATGTGTCACTCGCCTGGGCAGCCTGAGGGCAGAGTTCATCACAGTGCCTGCCTGTCTCCTATCCCATACATTAGGGGTTGCCGGCATCCTGAAAGGCCTCATGGTAGGCAGCTCTGCCCTGTCCACACCCCCATAGCATGGATTAGGGGCAGTGCCAGTGATGAAGGAGGCCAAGCCCAGGTGAGAGAGCTGCCTTTGAGTGCTAGAGGCAGGAAGAGGTGACCCTTGAGCTCCTTAAGGGTCAGAGAGGAATGCACTGGGTAGAGGAGTGGAGGTGGAGGACTTTCTAAGGAAGGAGCATTGTGTTCACTTTTCTTAGAAGAGTTTGCCTTTTTTTTTTTTTTTTGGTCTTTTTGAAGGAGGGTCTCCCTGTAGCCCCAGCTGTCCTGGAACTCACTATGTAGACCAGGCTGGCCTTGAGCTCACAGAGATCCACCTGCCTCTGCCTCCCAAGTGCTCGGACTACACTCCACCATGCCCCGCCAGAGTTTGCCTTTTCAACTGATGTTGGTATTGGATTTTTCTAGTAGCAGCAGGAGAGAGACAGAGGCAGGGATTCACTTTTTTTCTCTACAAACTAGCATGTGTATAGAAAAGAAAACAGTAACTGGTTTCAAAGCCAGCCAGGTTCCCCACTCAGGCCTGCCCTGCAGCCTGAGTGTATGGTCCTTCTGTGTGGTCTTCTATAAAGGCTGCACTCCTTCTCTGTAGGACAGTTCTCCATTTAAGACACCTGACAGAAAGGTCTTCAACCATTTTATAAAGCCACCAATTCCTTTGATCAGATAAAAGGTCCGGGGACCTGGATAGTAAACACCTAGAAAACCAACCTCTGGTTGGAAGGAGGGACATCACTTCTTTCTGGCTCTCATGGTCTCCCCTAGGGAACCTTGGTGCAGGGTTTTAAAACCCACTGGAAAGTCTCCAATAGGCACAGAAGAGAGGGTGGATCGGGGGTGGGGCATCTTCTGCCTCTTCACATCAAAGGTCACAGCAAACCAGGGAGGAAAAGTATTTGCTCAAAGGGCTTCCAGGGCTATGAGACGCTGTTGCAGAGAAGTGCCATCTTAGCATGGGCAGCACAGGCACTCCACAACGCACAATGCAGGATTCCTGCATCCTGGTGGGTGAGAACATCTCTCAGTTCTTGGGGTCATAGGCATTTCTCAGCTACAGGCTTTGAATGATTCACGTGAGGAGTTGGGAAGGGGTAAAATAGGCCAGATACAATTTGCAAGCCCAGAGACCAACCCCCCTCCCCAGTACTCTTCCAAGAGTCTCTCTTCTCTACAGGAAGAAATGTATTCCTGGCAATTAATTATTAATCTGGGAATTGTGGGAAGATAAAAAAATAGGATACTGTATTTGTAATTTACAACCTGATGCTGAGACAGGGCAGCCTTTGGTCTCTGCACTCAGAGGAGGGAGTCGAGACTCTGAGTGGGAAAGCAAGACTTCAGTGTTGCTGCCTAGAGAACTGTCAGCAGTAAAAATGGGCAGCAGTGCCTCGCTCTCTGTCTGAGTCTTCTGGAAGCTTCTGGGTCAGTTCGCAACATATTCATTCCTTAGGTGAAGTGAAATGTCAGGGAGCTGGGTGGGGTGGGGATTCTCTGCAGATTCGTTCATTCATTAGGCAAAATGAAATGTTAGGGGACAGAACAGTGTGGACACAGGCTTGTAAAGGACTCTTATGACAGCAGTAGGACGTGTGGGCTGGGAAAGGCTGGTGGTATACCATGTAATACTGCCAGTGTCACCTCAGAACATGCAAGATGCTGTGATTGATTGAGATATATTTTGTCTTTAGAGTAGGGGTTACAAACCAAATGGTCAAATCCAGCTCACCACAGATTTCTGTAAACAGTATACTAAGCAGGGCCACGCCATCAGTTTATGTACAAGCCACCAAGGCAGAACTGTGTAGTTGTGACAGATACAGTGTGGTCCACCAAGCCTAAAAATATTTACCATCTGGTGCTTTGCAGAGTGAGTTTACCAACCCTTGCTTCAGACTGTTCCGGAAAACATGATACACTCCTTCAACTATGGTGGCCTTATTGGGCCTTATTGTTTGAGGTAGGATTAGTAGGTTTGGAAGCCTGAAATCTCACCCCATGTTCTAATAAATATTTACTAAATTAATGGAAACATTTCTGTGCCCTGGGAGCAGTTTAAAAGTTGGGAGGCCTTCATAATGGAAACTTCTAGATTGATACTTTGGAAAGGTCTATGCAACAGAGCCCCAGAATTTAGCTTTATAGGAGGCAGGAGTAACCGTGAGGTTGTCTTCTGGTGAGTGACAGTTCCAAAGAAGCCCAGGAATGTTCTAGAATCTGCAAAAGAAAGGAAAATGGTGGGTCCCTTCTCTGTACCAGGGCTGCAAATAGCCCTTGGTGAACAAGTATCCCGGGTTATTTTGTTTAGCTGTTCGTTCTGTCTCTTGCTTGGGTATCCTGCTGGAGTGGAGTGGAGGAAGGATGTGCATACTTTAGGTAAATCCACTAAGTATCCAGAGTTTATGTAAATATGGCAGCAAACAGAACACACCCATCATTTGAAAAATTTAAGTTACAATTGTAGAAAATTTTATCTTTACTTGCTTATGATTTCCTTCACTATTGTAGTGAAAGAGATCTATCTTTTTGAGACAGGAATGTTAAGTTTGAGGCATTTGTGTTGACAGAGCCTCCTCCTGGAACTCTTGGCCGACATTCTAATCAATCACAGCACAGTATTCTTTCCTGTGCTTGATTAGCAATGCCTGATTTTACACCTATGAAATCTCAGAACCTTTCTCACTGTAAAAGGCACTGCCAGTTGATCTAGTGCTGAACAAGATGTTTGCTGATGTCACCAGCTGTTAGCACCCTCTATGTGACATACACATGGCCTCCCATTGTAGTTAAGGTTCTCAAAGGGTTTTCTTGGCCCACTTAAATTGTGTACTTCTTAGAGGACCTGCTATTATAGTTATTTCCACTCTCACCATTTTAATCAAAGCTCCTGTGGTCCAGGATTAAAAGCTCATACTTGTATCGCCCTACTGCTGAACACAATGGTTTGCCTCTAGCAGCTGTGGCAGCTATTTGGTTCACGTTAGCTGACCACATATAGGGAAGCCTTGTAGCATATGTGTATTGGTGGTTTCATATTGGAGTGATGACCAAGGCAAGGATCAGATCACTCCCTCTTCTATGTACCAGTGAGAGTTTGCCAGAGGCATTGTAATTTAAAGGATGGGAAAATCAGACTTACTTGAAGGGGTAGAGGAAGATAACTTGTTACTTGCTTGCCCGCTCTGCGCCCTGTCCTGGACTGGGAGATGGAGATAACAAGATGGAGCTGAGCCAGATCCTATCCTTCCAAGAACTGTAAGGAAGACCATTGCATAAAATGACTGTGCATAAAGCATCGAAGAAGATAAGAGCGAATTTGGCAGCAAGAAATGGGGCCCTCAAAAGGCCCTTGGACAAGCTCTTGGTCTCACCTGGCTCTGTTTGTTGCATTTAGTTTCGGAAGAATCGGCACGACCAGGATGCCACCAAACACAAACTCATGGAGATTGCCAACTATGTTGATAAGGTGAGACCAGGTGTGTACGTTGTGGGGAGGTACCGTTGCCTGGGATGGGCTGTAGGACAGGCACATATGTGCCATGTCACATGCACCTATGTCCTATGTGACATGCACCTGGCCCGTGCTACTGGGTGGGCCACCACATCAAGAACTGAAAGGGAATGAGCTTCCCCATAGAGCTTGGGGAGGATACACGACAAAACCTGAGCTATAAACCTCAGGCAAGTAACTGGGCTTCTTTGACTGGTAAGGGTTATTTTTTTTCTTTTTCTTTTAGTTTGTAAAATGCAAATATTGGCGAGGACACTGCTGTAAGCTGGAGCAGAGGTGGCTACCCAGAGCTCTGTCCTCCAGCCTCATATACCTCTGCAGTGGCTCCTGAGGAACCTTGGACACAGAAGAGCCCAGTCTAATATAGCTTTGAGGAGGTTTCTAAAGGTTCCTTCCAGGAGAAATCCCAATGATCCTTAGACTTAGGGAGGATTGAGGTAGGTTAGGATTGAATGACACATAGCCTTAAAAAAAAAAAAAAAAAAAAAAATCAAGGTGTTAGCTATTTGGGGCTAATGCTTAAAACTGACTGAGGATCATTTCTTCTCTTAGAAAGATTGCAAATGACTACATTTCCTAGGACAGGGTCCCTTCAAACATGCACTTAAGTAATTTCCAGAATTTGAATTATCCTTGAGTAGAATGTATGGAATTGGAAATACTCCCTGAATATGAAAGAAGGTTATAGTACAAAATGCAGAAAAGGTAACTTAGAATAGCAGTTGGTACCTTTTGATAGACTAGTAGTGTATATTTAAAAAGTAAGTTTTGACATGTTTGGGTCACTTGTATTCATGCATGCAAGAGACACTCTACACCGCTGAGCTGCAGCCCAGGCTCTTGGGTCACATGTCTCTTTGAGGCTCTGATACGAATTTCAGGACTCTCATAGAACTTTGAAGGGTTAACTCTGAACCTTGTGGTTGTTTCGTGGACCCCAGATCTAAAGGGGTATTTTTTTTTTTTTTCCTGGACACTAGAGGATAAAGAAGAGACATGAAAAAGGTTTTTTTAGGGCTTAACAAGCAAATTTGGTTATTGTGTGGTCATAAGATGGGAAGTTCTCAGCCTTGTCATTTTGTTCTGTCATCAATGGCTGTGGAAACACAGGCCACTAGCATGTGACAAGGTGAAAGTCAAATACTGGTCTTTCCTGGAAGGAAGGATTCTAGGGACACAGTGGCCTCTCTGTCTCCAGCTCCCAGTTTACTCAGCAGTTACAATCCAATGATCCTACAAAATAAACTCTCAACATCTGGGAAAATATGTTTCCCTGGGGGAATCCAGGAAGCTGATCCTGCTGTCACCTGTGAATCACCCATTGTCCTGGAGGCCAGGCAGGTGGGGCTTGGCTAGCGCACTCTATGAATTTTCCCATTGGACTTGGTTAGAATCATGGGGCGCAGATGAAAGGTAGACAGGGTGTGTCAGTAAGCACATCAACAAAACAAAACAAGCAAAAAATGTGGAGGGAGAAGAAAGTGGCCACAGACCCCAGGCGGTGGTGGAAGCCCCATGCCTTGCTGGCTGGTTCATTCTTTGAAGCCTCTTGTTTTTTTTCCCAGCATGTGAGGTTAATCACTCACAGAGGGGTGAGACACATTGACTGTCTGAAACTTGCTGACCCAGCTACTTGGACTGAATATTGTTGAACTAAAACTGGAAAGAGATGTCCTAATTGCTGAATCAGGAGCCCAATCCACAGTATTTTCCCTTAACTGTAAATAAGGCCAAGTTGACTTCCTTATAAAAGTCCTTAGTGAAGCTATTTCAAATGGGAGTTAGAATCTTTTTTTTTTTTTTCTGCAATGATGAATGTGGCACAAAACAGAAATTCTGTAGAAATAAAATCGTGTTTTGCAGGATTAGGACCCCATCTAGACTGAAGTTTCTTAGGGGCAATGTGTGAATATATAATATAATATTATATTCCTGGCTCCAGTATCTCCCTGTGAGGTTTCCTAAGTTCTCTAAGCCTCACTGCTCACAGAAAGTGCTTGACAAACATTGGTGTCCCAGTTACTATTTTTTGCTGTGGAAGAACCTGCCAATTTTAGACTGAAGTGGTCTGTCCTATTCTGGTGGCTTCTGTGTACACGAGACTTTGAAAATATGTCGCTGGAGAGTTGGAGGAATGGCTCAGCCTGTAACGTACCTGCTGGGCAAGCATGAGGATGTGAGCTAGAATCCCTGTAACAGCCAGACACAATAGCACGGGTCTGTAACCTCAGTGCTGGGGGCGGCGGTAGGGTGGACCCCAGGACTTCAATATCTAGCCAGTCCAGCTGAATTAACAAGCTCCCGGTTTGGTGAGAAACCCTGTCTCAAAAAATAATGTAGAGAGTGATCGTGGAAAACACTCCACATTGACCTTTGGCCTCCACACATACATGTGCGCATAGAAACACGTACCTAACCCCATACATGCAAAGTCATTATAGCATCAAGGGAAAATCCAACAAAGAACCGATCGGTGGGGTAGACTGCCTCTACATCTTTTTTTTTTTTTTTTTTTTTTTTTTTTTTTAGTTATTAGCTCAGTGTTCTCTAAGCCAAGCTACCCCAGTTTGACTCCCCAAAATGCACCTCTCTGAAGATCTCATTTCCCCTCTTGAGAAATGTTAAGAATACCTCTTCCCGCTTCCCCTTGGATCCACAGGCAGAAGACAGATCTGCTAACTGTGCGCTGAGCTCTTAGGCTGGGTGGCGACAGACGGGCTTTTGTCTTTTCAGTTTTACCGATCCTTGAACATCCGGATTGCGCTAGTGGGCTTGGAGGTGTGGACGCATGGGGATAAATGTGAAGTTTCGGAGAACCCATACTCCACCCTCTGGTCATTTCTTAATTGGAGGCGTAAGCTACTTGCCCAGAAGAGTCATGACAATGCGCAGCTAATCACGTAAGTCGCCTTTTCTGGGTGTGTTGTCTCGTGTCTCACTCAGCTTTGGCTGCAGAGCCTCTGACAACCACATACTGTCCAAGTTTGCCCTATCTTTCCCCAGGGCGGAGTGTTGGTCGTGCAGGACCCTCCCTGCTCCTGATCCAGATAACTAGGCATTGCTCAGACCCAACATTCCTTGGAAAATGTTAAAAAACCTAACAGTGATAAGAGTCCACTCAGGTGTTTGCTGACCATGTAAGAAACAGCTTCAGCCATCATCGGCTGAGTGGCTGACGCACTTGAGCATGTAGCTGATTGTTGCTTACAGCTGACACTCTGACAGTGTTCTAGCACCCGAGTGCATCTCCCACAATAGCCTCAGGAGAGGTCCCTTGGATCCTTCACTGGCTTCCCCGGGGGCTCAGGGCTGAGTACCCCAGGAAGTCAAAGTGACAGACTGTATGGGAACTGCATGCTTGGTAGGAGGAAATGCTGAGGACCACTGTGTTGACTTTTCATCAGCTTCTGGTAGAGTCAGGGTGGTGAGAATCAGCCCCCTAAAGTGATCTTTGGTGTGTTTATTAGTAGGCCTCCCAAGGTATTTTGAGACGGTTATAACAAAAGGTATACTTTTGTGCTCAGCAATCATTTAAACCTTGATATCTTGATTTACCGTCTAAAAGCAACTGGGAAGTAGCTGTCCTCAAAGCCTGGGCTCTGAGTTGTGACTTCATGACAGCCTGTTCACCCAGAAAGTCTGGTTACCAAAATGTTTGGCCTGAACTTTTGAATGTAACACCTTGAACCTGGGTTTTCTGTGGGACTTCCTCAGGGTCAAGTTCAATTTTGTAAAATAAAAAGCAGGGTGTCATGTAGATTGACAGATACTGCATTTATTAAGCAAAACTTTAGTAAACGTCCATTTACTCCTTCTTGCCTACTCTGCGTGAATGCAGCTGACAGAGGGCTATGCTAAAATGAGGAACACCATAGCTAGCTGTTGGCAGGTTGGGATCATTCTTGTAGAGCAGTGGCAGAAACAATTCATTCTGTATCCAGCTGCAGTTTGTGGAACTCCCAAAGGGACGCAGCTGTTTCCTTGGCCCTAGTGTGATAAGAGGATAGAGCAGTGGCCATCACAGCTGCTGCCCAGCCTCCCTTCCCCATCCCCCAAGACACATACCACCAGGGGTATAAGGCCTGGCCCCCTGACATCTGGCGGAAGTGGGTATGATTCACTTGGGCATCACAGCCTCTGCCACCCTTCCCACAACCCCTGCCTCTGACCTTTTCCTGTGCAGCAGGAGTAGGGCATAGATTTTCATGCTCTGCCTACTTCCCTTCAGGGAAATGGCTCTGGGTGGCATTGTAAAGGAAAGAGGACCTTTTGCTTGCTCTATTCTGTGGTGCTGAGGGAGCAGGTGAGAGGAAATGAGAGGCGTGGTGACCTGAAAGTTGTCCAGTTGGCTGGGATACCAGGCTCTTTCCCTTGGAAATAATCTGGGAATGTCAGTGGGGTCAGAGAATAGCATGGTAGCCACCCACTCCTGCTCCGTGGGAACGGCCCTCTCAGTCCCCACCCGAGTCACCTGTCCTCTTCTTTCCTGCAGGGGCAGGTCTTTCCACGGTACCACCATCGGCCTGGCCCCTCTCATGGCCATGTGCTCTGTGTACCAATCTGGAGGGGTCAACATGGTGAGTCTCAGCCCATAAGATGTTGAGAAGTATAAAACTGCCTCCCAAGCCAGGAGGTCAGCTTTGAAAAACTAATTTGATATTTATAATTGCAGAAGAAAAACCATTTATGAAAAATGAAATGTTTCAAGTGAAGTGATTAGATTCTAAGAGATGGAGGTGGCCAAGGATGTATTTTCACTTATCTTAGTTTATTATTATTTTTTTAAAGCAATTGCACAAATAGACCACCAAACCTCTGTATACTCCAAGCCAGGGGTTAGGGAGTAGCAGAACAAGAGATAGGTATATTTTTGTCCTGGGTCTTGCATTGTTAGGTTTGGCATTATGCAACAAGAGCCTGCCGCAGGGTCATGATTAGGAAATTACTCTTTTGAAATCCTCTCTGACTTAGTGAAAGTAGGTCTTTTGTTGTGGGTTTTTTTTTTTGCAGGGGGGTGGGGGCCAGTGAGGGTTACATAGCTGTGGCTGGCCTTGAATTCACTGTGTAGACCAGGCTGACCTCAAACTTGCTACCTACCTAAGGATGACCTTGAATTCCTGGTATTACAGGCTTTGTATGGTGTTGGGGATTGAACCCAGAGCTGTGTGCGTGCTAGGCAAGCACCCTACCAACTGAGCTGCATCCCTAGCACTAGTCCTGACTAGTCATTTCTAACCTGGAATGGTTATCAAGGAAGTCTGCTCTCTGCTCTTATCTGCTAGTCTATCCCTCCACCCATCCTGTATTTATTCATTTATTGACAAAATAACATGAATGTTAAACTCGAGGGCCTAGAGTCAACCTGATTGGTTTCAAAGACCACTGTGTGACTTTAAGTTAATGACTGTCCTCATTTGTAAAGTGAAGGTAACTTATAGTTTATAATCTTAGCGTAAGAAAGGGAATTTAAATAAATAAGAGAAGGAGTGTGCCAACATATTTAGTAAATCTTTTTGGTAGTTCAGCTGTTTTGTCTTTTGCGATGGGTCTCATTACATTGTCCAGGCTGGTCTCAAAATCCGGGCCCAAGTGACTCTCCTGCCTCAGCCCCTCAGATAGCTGGGACTGTAGTTTCAGCACACCAGCACAATTAGTTCATTTTCCCCATTTTTTGTTTTGTTTTGTTGAGATTTTCTTTTGATGATTAAGCTCATACCCAATTGCAAGTTCTATGCCTGAGGTGGCTTTGTCATGAGGTACTCTCAGAAAGCAGCGAGATGAGTGTGTTCTCTGCTTGAGTCAAGGTGATAGGTCAATTGCCACATCCTGAAGAGATGTATCAGTCTGTCTGGGGATTTGTCGGTGGGTCAGACGTGGTCTACAACCTTTAAGAACTCAGGAAACAGCCTTTTGAGTATTTGATTTCCTAATGACAGTAGTGGTTTTAGACCTATTAATAGCAGGTATGGAAAGCCAGCCATATCTATGCACAGTATTAGGGGAATCAGTGGCGAGCTGTAAGGCCTTCCTTGAGTAAGGGAGAGGCAGAGATAGGGGGTGACAGTGGGAATAGGACCTTGACCTTGAATTGAACTCTCCCCTGACAGGACCACTCTGAGAATGCCATTGGCGTGGCTGCAACCATGGCCCATGAGATGGGCCACAACTTCGGCATGAGCCACGATTCTGCTGGCTGCTGCTCTGCCAGTGCAGCAGATGGCGGGTGCATCATGGCGGCCGCTACTGGGTGAGTCAGTGGGAAGATGAGGGTTAAGAGGAGAGGAAGGTGAGCCATGCAGCATCAGTGTGACCCAAGAGGTCCTTCCAGATGGCCCCAAGGAGCCTCTCAAACTGTTGATAAGGGTAGAGGTGTTTATTACCACCAAGAAATTGGGAGAGGACCACACAGGCAGGTGAGTAGAAAGACACTAAGTCCCTAGCAGCAGATTGGTGCTGGTGGAACCCCAGACCTGCTCAATTTTGATAAAGAGGCTTCTGCTATAAAATTGGCATGAACACATCTTATTCCCTTCGAGATTTTTCTTTTCTTTTTTTGAGGGAGAGGCTTTCTATATTGCCTAGGGTTAATCTTGAACTTGTGATTTCAAGCGATCCTTTTACCTCAGCCTCCCAAGAAACTGGGCGTGCATGCCCAGCTCTTGAAGTTTTAGTGAGGCTCTATTTTTTGATCAGAGTTACAACCCTTGGTCCTTCCATACCAAAGGAGTATGGTCAGTACTATTGTGTCTGAGTCCTCTTGGAAAGTTCTGATGTAGTTTATAGAACAAGAGGAAGGAAGGAGACCATCTACACACTCCTCAGGGAATGCCCAAGAACAAGGCCACCGTGTCTCCTGTAGCTGGGGGGCAGGGGTTCTAAGCCAGAGCCTTTGGAAGAGGACGACTTACCTTCTAGTGTCTGGGCTCATCATGAATCACTGCATTCTTTCAGACCTGAGTCATTCCATGACCCTATTTACTCCCTGGAAGGCATTGTAGTGGGATCTGATATAAGTTCCCTCACTCCAAACCCCTGGGGTCTGCTTATGCTTCCTAGAGAACCGTGACTCCCTGTCTCCATGAGGCAAGGCTGCTTTCTGGGTTCTCTAGTGCTTGTTCATCATTTCTCAGGTTGTGACACTGAAAGGATGATGGGACATGCAGGCTACAGCTCCATGGGCATGTTCAAATCCCTGTGAGGTTACCGTTAAGTCTGTCCCTTTCTTTACCAATCTCAGAGGGCATCTTAGACAAATGGTCGACAGTGATGTTTGTTACTACTCCAATTTGTTTTTCTTTTTCTTTTCTTTTTTTTTTTTTTTTTTGGTCTTTTTGAGACAGGGTCTCCCTGTAGCCCCAGCTGTCCTGGAACTCACTATGTAGACCAGGCTGGCCTTGAACTCACAGAGATCCGCCTGCCTCTGCCTCCTGAGTGCTGGGATTAAAGGCCTGCGCCACCACGCCCGGCTCTTTTTCTTTGTTTTTTTAAATTTTATGTGTATGCATGTATTGCCTGCATGTAGGTAAGTGCACCTGTATTGTGCAGTGCCCAAGGAGGACAAAAGAGGCTGTCAGAGCCCCTGGAACTGGAGTTACAGACAGTTGTTAGCTGCCATGTGGGTGCTGGGATTCAAACCCAGGTCTTTTGCAAGAACAGTCAGTGTTCTTAACTGCTGAGCCATCTCTCCAGTCCCCCAATTTGTTTTTAAATTATTCAAAAATTGTAGTAGGTTTACAATGGTTAGTAATAAATTCATTGTGGCATACCTCCAGTAGAAGGCTCTAGTGTTTAACCTTGAATTGGTTTAGAGAATTAAGGGCAAGGTGACTCTTCCTTACCACATTGTGATATAGTAGTTTCCTGATATTTACAGAATATATGTTCCAGGACATTCCAGATGCCTCAAACCATAGCTGGTGCTGAACCCTGTGTATTCTGTGTTTTTCCAAACGCACCTGATGAAGTTGAATTCATAAAGTAGGCACAGTAAGAGGTTAAGTGGCTCCCACTTTTAATCCCAGCATTTTGGGAGGCAGAGGCAGGCAGATCTCTGTGAGAATGAGGCCAGCTTGGTCTATATAGCAAGTTCCAGGGCAGCTGGGGCCACAGGGACACCCTGTCTCAAAAACCCAAAACCAACGAAACAAAAACCCATAAACCCAATAATGTGTAATAAACTAGAACAGTTATTACAATGTGTTGTGGTAAAAGTTATTTCCAAGTTAGGAATTGTTCACTTCTGGAAATTTCTGTTTAAGATCACTGTTGACTCTGGGTAACCAAAGCCATGGAAAGCAAAACTGCAGATAGGGAACCACTGTGCTTTTGGTTGTTTCCCTCAGCAGCAGGGCACTCGGGAGCTTTCATACATGCTCTTGATAAAGGCCACACATTTGTGAGTTGGATGGTGGAGTCACTTGTCTGTAGAGCAAAGATCAACTGGTCAGCCCATGAATAAATTAAATCCATGATTTCAGCCTTTACGTTTCTGGTCTTTGTCATAAGAACATACCCATACAACATCATCTTAGAGAACAGCTTGGATTGGCCAATATTGTGTTCAGCCCTCAGTCGGGAGACCTATCTTAATGCACTCATAACTTACTTGAACTATTCATGCAAATTGACATTCTGTCCCTCAATTGCCTTTCTCACATTCAATAAGAAAAACACATTATGGCATTCCTACTGTTTCCTAATTTTGGATGAAAGAATTCTAAGCTGATGTGTTGATGAAGCCCTGGTGAGGGCAGAAGGTATGTGTGGGCCCGTGGGGTTTTTGTCCAGGTGAAGTCAGCCTGGTGGGTGGTAGGATGGAAAGGTGGTCGATGTGCTTAAACTTGATGCTAATCCATCCCTGTTCTCTCTGTCAGGCACCCCTTTCCCAGAGTGTTCAACTGGTGCAACAGGAGAGAGCTGGACCGGTACCTGCAGTCTGGCGGTGGGATGTGTCTCTCCAACATGCCAGACACCAGGACACTGTATGGAGGTCAGAGGTGTGGCAATGGGTACCTAGAAGATGGCGAAGAATGCGACTGCGGGGAGGAAGAGGTAGGTGTCGGGACCTGCTGGAGGGGGGAAGAATTGGCATTGATCTCAAAGCTGAAAGGCAAAGGAGAAGGTGAGCGATGATTTCCTGGTTGGCAGCATTTCCTACACATGACTACCAAAGGCCCATGTGGTAAGCTGTGGACTGAGCAGTGAGTCTCCCAGGTAGATGAAGTCTGTGGCCACTGCAGCTTGTGGCCAGCACTGTCATGTACAGGACAGGGTGGAGTCCTGGTCAGCATCTGCTCTAGACACAGACCATGATCGAGGGGGCATGTTGGCTCCCCCTCCCTGGAGGAACCCCAGGTGGCCTCTTAGGCTCTCCAGCTGTACTGCATTTATTCTGGAGGCCACACAGCTGGACATATGGACTTGAGCAGGAGCCTGATGAGGGTGCTTACAGTAACAAGCTCATGCTGTTTAGCCCGGAGAAGAGATTGAAAGGGGATCGTGGAAGTGCTGTCCAGTCTGGGAAGGGTTGCCAAGGAAGAAGCAGAGCAAAACTCTGTGGAGAAGCTTTTCCTTCAGCGTGAGTGTGGTGGGCACCCGCCCTGGCTCAGTCATTTTATTAGAAACATGTTTTTCTTCAAAAAAAGCAGAACTAGATTGTTTCATCTCTATTTTTTAAAGAATGAGAAAAATATATGTTAACCCGTGCTTGACAACTGGGGAGGACTGTACAAGTCGACTGAATGGTGGGGTGAGACTGAGGCATCAGTGTGCAAAGGACCATTTGGTTTTATAACGTCTGGTGTGATTTTAAAAATATGTTAATTTTGGTCTGGAGACATGGCTCAGTGGTTAAGAGCACCAACTGCTCTTGTAGAGGATGTAGAGGACCTGGGCTTGATTTCCAGCACGCACATGTCCCCTAACAACTGTCCGTAACTCCAGTTCCAGGGGAATCCAACTCCTAACTTCACGGGCATTGCATGACACGGATGCACTTACACACATGCAGGCAATGCAGTCATACACATAAAATAAAAATAATAAAAAAAAAAATTTAAATACATATATTTATTTACTTTTGTGTGTGTGTGTGTGTGTGTGTATCTATGTCTGTTGTGTGTCTGTGCCTGCCATATGCACTCACACATGGCCATGGCATGCTTGTGGTGGTCACACGGAAACTTAGGAGAGTTGGTTCTTTCCTTCCACTATATTGAACCCAGGGAGCAAACTCAGGTCTTCAGGCAACAAGTGCCTTTACTCCCTGAGCCATCTTGCTGGCTCTCTTTTTAAAATAGGAAGCTGTGATTTCCAGAATGAAATAAGAACTAGTACACTTTCACAACTGTGAGCAAGGATTGGCCCTGGCTCTTCAGCAAGGAGGAGTTCTATTAGAAGCAGGGAATATTAAGGTTTTGTAAGCTCAGTATAACTGCATAGTACAGGAATTTACCTAGAGTCACCATGTAGTAGCATCTAAGTTGTGGTGTCACTGAGGATTGTGCACCTGAGTGAATGTTTTCTCTGGTAAATACTCGTTACCTTAATAAGTCAGTTTTGATGAGTTCTAAGGAGCGGAGTTGCTGAGCATGCAGGGGAGAGGGACCAGGAAGGGCTCCCCCTGCTGGGCTCTGACTCTTACCTCCTGTTGCAGAAACTAATATTCTCTGCTGCCCTTCCAGGAGTGTAATAACCCTTGCTGCAATGCCTCCAACTGCACTCTGAAGGAAGGGGCGGAGTGTGCCCACGGCGCCTGCTGTCACAAGTGTAAGGTAAGTAAACCCTTTGCCCTCAGGGTGCCTCAGGCTTTGAGCTGATAGGTGGGTGATGGCTGGGTTTCAGCCTGCACCCCAGAGAATGGCTGTATCAAAGTTCTAGACACAGGGCTGAGGAAGGTCGATGGTAGAGCATGTGCTTTTTTGTACAAGGCTCTGGTGGTACAGAGCACTGTGAGGGAAGGAGGGAGGGCAGGCGGGAGAGAGGAAGAGGAAGGGGGACGGAGGGAGAGAGACAGAGACAGAGAAGTGAGAGAGAGACAGAGAGACTCAGATACTTGAGACTGAGAATGCCCATTGAACTAAGTCCACTATTTTTTATTATCCTGGGCCTCACTGAGTTCAACGCATTCCAGAAGTCAGGCCATGAATAGACATCTTGGTGGATGCCAAGGACCAGGCTGAGGATTTTATGTAGGTGATCCCATTCAATCTTCACAAAAGCCCCATGAGATACAGGTTACGGCCTTCATTTTAAGACAAGGAAATTAGAGCTATTAGTAGATGAATGACATGTAGATTCAGTGAGGGCCCAAATCCAGCTCTCCTGACTCAAGTCGATGATCCTAATATTGGCGTGGAAAATAATTTATTACTATTACAAATATAGTACCACAAACTTTTATCTAAATTTGGGAATTCAAACATTCTAAAAGCTGAAAAAAAATGAACAGATTTGGGACACAATTTGACTCAGATTGATATGAGGTTAATTATAGCCAGCCGAGATTACAGGAAGATCCTGTCTCAATACCGCCCCCCCCATAAATAAAATTTAAAAATTACCTCAAGTGAATATTTATATTTCATTATAAAACTATTAATGCATTTGATCCTAAAGGTTATCCTAGACCTTGCTGGGAAGTTATATAATATATGTAAATATACACATATATTTGTATATTATCCATATGTTATATTCATGTAGATGTATATATACATTTTTAGATATACCTACATATATACATACATACATTTCATGTTATGATGCATGCTCTTTTTGTTGTTTGTTTTGGGGTTTTTTTGAAGCAGGGTCTCCCTGTAGTCCCAGCTGGCCTGGAACTCACTATGCAGACCAGGCTGGCTTTGAACTCACAGAGATCCAACTGCTTCTGCCTCCTGAGTGCTGGGATTAAAGGTGTGCGCCACCATGCCCGACTGATATGCTCTTTTGAGTTATCTTATTGATCTCTAAACCCTGAATGCTAGATGAAATTTTATGCTGGTTTTATGGTCTTTCCTCCTGCTGTCTACTTGCTGAGTGCACACTGTGTTCAAGTACCTCACTGGAACTCCTTCCTCTTAGCAGAGCCCAAGAGAGGCCTTCAATCTGGAATTATGGGTGAACAAACACATAGAGGTTAAGTAGCTGCCCACGGCTCTACTGCTGGCTAAGGAGCTGAGATTTGAATGAGGCCAGGTGGCTCTAAGGCGGGTCTTCCTTATGTCCCACCTGCTCCTGGGTGATAGAGGTGTGTCACTTCCGCCTTTACACACTGACCCTGTTCACCTTGCACTTGGGCTTCCATTCCTTCAGCAAGCTGTTCAGCCTGAGCATGGCCATCAAAGGGAATTACCTGTTCCCTGTCCTGAAAGGAACTGGTGGGTGGTGTGATCACCTAGGAGCAAGGCAGGGCTTTATTTTAAAAAAAGTTTTTTATTCATTATTTTTATTTTCTGTATTAAGTGTATTGTCTGCATGTGTGTAAGTGGAGTAAGTGTACCTGGTCTATGCAGTGTCCTCGGGGATCAGAAAAGCATGTCAGATCCCCTGGAACTGAACTTAAGGATGGTTGTTAGCTGCCATGTGGGAGCTGGGAATCAAACACAGGTCCTGTACAAGAGCAGCCTGTGCTCTTAACCCCTGAGCCATCCCTCTAGGGCCAGGAAGGCTTTCTTCTTAGTTGTAGCTGTCCTTGCCTGGCTGAGAGAGGGCTTTGACAGTATCTGTTTTGAGCTGGCAGCCTTCAGGGAGGCTATGCTGGGCTGAATCCTTCCAGTCTGAAGGCTGAAGAATAAGCCTGGAGTGGCCTTTCATTCCCTCCTGGGATTTCACTTGGAGCCTCATGAAGGATTCCGAGGCCCCTACATATGATCTGGACTTCAAGCCTTGTCTATGTGATTTGGGGCAATTTATTAACATCTGAGCTTAGGTTGCCTGAAACACTGGCTGCCTGGGGAGGCTCCAAGACTAAGTTTTTACAAGTTGGTTTTTACTGTTTGTGCCAAGTATGCTGTCGGTCTGGTCCTTTGACCTGCCCTGCAAAGTGGGATAGTAGCGGTACTGGTTTTTACTGTTTGTGCCAAGTATGCTGTCGGTCTGGTCCTTTGACCTGCAAAGTGGGATAGTAGCGGTATCTATTTCAAGCATATAGTGTCGCACAGATGAGATGAATATTTGGAACAGAGCCCAGGCCTGATTTAAGGGTGGAGGTACATTGTTGAAGAGTTTAGAATAGGTGTGGCAGCACATACATACCTACAGTTCCAGCATTCTGGAGGCTGAGGCAAGAGGAATGCCATGAGTTTAAAGCCAGCCTGAGCTACATGGTAGTGAGTTTGAAGCTAGTCTCTAAAACAAAACAAGAATGTTGTAAACTCAAAACTTATATAAATGTCAGGTGTGTGTGTGTGTGCGTGCGTGTGTGTGTGTGCATATACCCATGGGCTGGCCCCCTTTGCCACATACTATGAGATTGTGTTTTGCGTCTCACCTCTTTAATCCTATTGGACAACCTGGAAAACTAAATGAAGCCCTGATGGGGCACTTAAGTGGGAATGGCACAAAGGTGGCTGTTATTGCCAAAGCACACGGTAAAGTGTAATTGTTGCATAAATATTACTTCTTACCTACTTCCTGAACCTGCTATAAAGAGGAAGTAAGTTAACTATTGTGGCTATCACCTTGAAGTCACTATTCATTTCAGAAAGCTGATGATGGCTTGAGTTAATGAAGTACCGTGAAATGACAGTGATGGAAAATTCTGGTCCACAGGAGTGATCCTAATGAGCTCCTGGTTGAGAGTTGAGGGCAGGGAAGAAATTAACTAATTTTTGCCCTCTCATTCCTCGACTCAGCTGATGGCTCCTGGTACCCTGTGTCGTGAGCAGGCAAGGCAGTGTGACCTCCCTGAGTTCTGCACGGGCAAGTCTCCCCACTGCCCCACTAACTTCTACCAGATGGACGGCACCCCCTGCGAAGGGGGCCAGGCTTACTGCTATAATGGCATGTGCCTCACTTACCAGGAGCAGTGCCAGCAGCTGTGGGGACCTGGTAAGGACCTTTGGGGGGCACACGCTCTCTTCCAAAACAGATATCACCTCTCTCACCCCCTAGGCTCAGGGGAGATGTTCAGTGGGGGGCGGGGAGTGGGGTGTGTGTGGGTTGTATGTTCCCAGGGGGCAGCATTCTTCCTAGTCCTTTGAGGCTTTTTAGTTCTTACAGTGGGCAAGTAGGTAACAGTATTCCCCACTGGCCTCCCCCCCAATAGTTCTAGAGAAATAAAAGCAAATACAAAGACCTTAAGCTATGAAGGAAAAGCTCAGTCATATTAAGGAAAGGCAAATTGTAAGTACCATGAAGTGATGTTTTTCGTGTATCAGATTGCAAAGATAGAAAGTGATATCGTAATATAACAACAGTCACACCATGACATAGTGCAGGGTGTAAGAAAAAGACATCAGCCCTACGGAAAGCAATTCAGAGACAGCAAACTCTTAAATGTGCTTACAGGTCCCATTAATTACTCCAGGACTTCTGCCCATAACCCCTTTCACTTAAGAAATTTTTAGATAAACCAGAGTATATGGGTATATAAAATACACATCAAACATTGATAATAAATCACAAAGAAATTATTTTAAAATAGTTCTTTGCTAAGTGTTTAATTTAACTGTTTGTAAAAGACAAAAGCTGGGCTGGAGAGATGGCTCAGTGTTTAGAGCACTGGCTGCTCTTACAGAGGACCCAGGCTTGAGTCCCAGCACCCACATGGCAGCTAACAACCACCATCTCCAACTCCAGTTCCAGGGGAATTGGACGCCCTCTTCTGACCTCTGAGGGCATTGCATGACATGGATACACTCACATACATGCAGGCAGTATGCTCATACACATAAAATAAAAATAATAAATAATATTTTAAAAAAACAGCCAAACAAATGTAACCTCTAGTTGTTCTTGCATATGCATGTGAAGCTATATTTCCAGATGTTTATTACATTGCTGCTAGTTATAGCAGTAACAACCTCTGTGCCTTATGGAATAGACTAATTAAATTCATTCCAGTAAGTCAGTACAGTGGAAGGCTGTGCAGCTGAATTTAAGGAGGCAGCTCCGTACACCAGATATCATCACCTCTCACAACCAAGTAAAAGCCCAAAGCACAGAACAGAAAGAGAAGATGCTTCGATTCTTAATTAGAGTATCTCAAGATACCCCAGAATTGTATACAGGGGATGCGGAAGACAGAACACGCAGTTGATGACTGTAGCTTTTTTAGGATATAGGAGATTAGGAACTGGATGAATGTGAGGGGAAAATGGCAAAGACATACTTTAGATCTTTAAAGTTTAAAATTAATTTATTAAAATAGGGGAATGGGACAGCCTTTCTTCATTAGCAAGCAGACTTAGAATGCAACCCCCACTGATACAAATGTTCAACAAGGTATTAAAATCACTCTCAAATGTTTTCTTTGAATTGTTCTTGAAGAAAATATGAGAATGTCATGATACCACCAGAGGCTGGCCTTGCCCTTGGGGGCCTCTGGTAGGCTCGTGCCCTGACACATGTTTCTTGCACACCTAGGAGCCCGACCAGCCCCTGATCTTTGCTTTGAGAAGGTGAATGAGGCAGGAGACACCTTTGGAAACTGTGGGAAGGACATAAATGGCAAACACAGGAAGTGCAACACCAGGTGAGGACCATAGCACTGATGCCATGGGAGGAGGAACGACCAGGAGACCCAACTCTGTCCTCATTCAGGCTTAGTGGTGTGGCTGGCCCCCAAGCTGTTGAAGTCAAGTCAGCTGAAGTCTGTATCTATTCTCCACCTATTGTTTGATAATGCACTGTTGGGAGAGTGCCAAGAAATTCAGAAGGAGGAGTGGGTGGCATTAGCATCATGGAAGGTTGATCAAGCTTGCTTTGAGGACCCTTTTAAAGAATAGAGCAGGAAATTAGCCCTTTGGGACCATTTTCTTTTGCTGGGTGCTAATTATACCCCTCATTAAAGAACCTATCAGTCATTCACTTATTTATTCCATTCACCTATCTATTCACTGGCTCATCTATTCACCCACCCACCCTGTTGTAGATTCACCAGGCACAGGATTCTGTTTTGAGTGTCTACAGCTTGTAATTATCACTGCAGTGTGATAATGAGAATTTGGGGTCGCCCATACCCAACTGAACGCCTGGGGTGGTTTTTCCAAGAATTCTACTTATGTTGAGTTCTGTAGTAGTTATCTAGATAAACAGGGCGGGGAGTCCCACTGGTGTGTAGGAAAGAGACATTCAGAGAAAGACTGGCAGTTGAACTGATACAGTAAGCTGTAGTTTGGGGTATGAAGGAGAGAGGGTTGTGAGGGTAGACAGGAAAGCAAGGACTAGACTGTGAAGGTTAAACACATGGCTGCAAGAGTTTGCACTGTGATCGTATATGGGACAAGACTACAGATAGGGAACTCGATTTCTTGACGCTCAGGAAAGTAAAGAATGTAGTGTGAGTCAGGGAAGATGTGTAGGAGGAAGACCGACAAGGTTTGAAAATGACTTAAACCTAGGAGCAATGAAGAACAGGGGTCAAAGGTGAGCCCCATCTCCTGGGTGAATGATGACATTATCAGCATAAGAAGACAGACTACTTAGGTTGGACAGTTGTCCTTGAAGTTAGGATTTCTTAAGTCTAGCTCTTTGTCTGAGTCTGCTCAGGGACTAGTAGCTTTTTACCTTTTCTAGGTCTGAGTCTTCCTTAGGAATCTCCTGATGGGTCCCTAGAACACACTCACTGGCCTGGACCTTTGCCGCACCCTACCCAGACATGCTGTCTTGGCTCAGACTGAAGCACTCAAGTGCCCCAGCTCTTCTCCAGCCGTTAATCGTATCTTCTGTCCTTCTCCCAACCCAGGGATGCCAAGTGTGGGAAGATCCAGTGTGAAAGCTCTGAGGCCCGGCCCCTGGAATCTAATGCAGTACCTATTGATACTACCATCACCTTAAATGGGAAGCAGTTCTTCTGCCGGGGTACCCATGTCTACCGGGGTCCTGAGGAGGAAGAGGAGGGTGACATGCTGGACCCAGGCCTGGTGATGACTGGAACCAAGTGTGGCTATAACCATGTGAGTCCCTTCCCTACCCCCAAGTAGGAACTGAGCTTCAGAGAGGAGAGGCTGAGAAGGGTGAGCTCTGGAGGGCAATGTGGGGCTCAGTGCCCAACCTCCTCTATTTCTGAGCCTCAGCAGATTCTTTTATAAAAGCTTGAATAGTAATAACAACAGGCTCTCACCCACAGACTGAGGATTAGGCAAGCTCATTTCTCTAAAACACATGAAGGTGCTATTTAGGATCATGTGAAATGAAAATGGACTAAGAGGCAGGAGAGATAGTTCAGCAGTCAAGAGCACTGGCTGTTCTTGCAGAGGACCAGGGTTCAGTTCCTAGTGCTCACATGGCAGCTCACAACTGTCTGTAACTCCAGTTCCAGGAAATCTGATGCCTTCTTCTGGCCTCCACAGGAACTGCCTATGCATGGTATATATACATATATGCAGGCAAAACACTCATAAATATTAGTAAATTCTTTAAAAAATTAAAAATTTAAAAATTAGACTAAGTCATCAGGTATGATAGCACATGCCTTTAATCCTAGCACTCAGACCCTGTCTCAAAAAGACCAAAAAAAGACAAGGAAACCCAGGGAGACGGTGCCACCCATCTCACAGATTTAATTATGTTAATGAATTATAAAACTATGAAACACATGGTATAGTTCTTAGCACAGAGTAGGCTCCTGCCAAAATCATTCATTTTTAGGCATAATATTAAAATTAGTGTATGCCAATAAGTTATGCCAGTAAGTGAATAAAAGGTAATCAACATAATTCTAAAATAGAACATCACAGGGCTGGAGGGATAGCACAGCCATTGAAGGCTAAGGCTAACAACCAAAAATGAAAATATAACATCATGATTATCAATTTGTTGTTTTTAACATATTTGTTATCCCCTCCCTAGTCACAAAGGGGACTGTCTTATCCTTCCTGTAATAAGTAATTTGAAGGGTCTCCATTTGGGTTCTTATACATCCTGGTATTCTAATCCTCCCGGGGTGCCCCCATTTCTGTACTGATGGCTGTTCCCCCCTTGCTGCAGATTTGTTTCGAGGGGCAATGCAGGAACACATCATTCTTTGAGACCGAAGGCTGTGGAAAGAAGTGCAATGGTCACGGGGTATGTGTGCAAGGGTCTGGGCTTCTGGTGGGGTATGCATGCAGGGGTCTGTCTGGGCTTCTGGGGGTTGGTGTCATGGGGACACGCCCTGTGGGAGAGCTCTGGTCACCTCTTCTGTCCCTTCACTGTAGGTCTGCAACAACAACCAAAACTGCCATTGCTTCCATGGCTGGGCTCCGCCTTTCTGCAATGCCCCAGGACAAGGGGGCAGCATCGACAGTGGCCCTATGCCCCCCCAGAGTGAGTGTTCCTCTTTTGTGAGAACGGCAGAGACCATGGGGACACGTGGCTGTTGGCAGGGATGTCCAGTCTTTTGACATTACAGCATGACACTGTTGTCTACAAACATGTTGGGCCATGTTCATAGCAGTGCTGGGAAACATGTGACCTATGGGACACAGGTTCAACATATTACAAAGAGTTCATGTTGCCGGGCATGGTGGCGCTTGCCTTTAATCCCAGCACTTGGGAGGCAGAGGTTGACAGATGAATCTGAGAGTTCAAGGCCAGCCTGGTCTACATATTGAGTTCCAGGACAGCTGGGGCTACAGGGAGACCCTGTCTCAAAAAGATGAAAAAACAAACAAACAAAATCCAAAAAAGCTCATGTTAAGTGTGCTTTACATCCTGATTCTGTAGGTGAGCAAGTCAAGATAAAAAGAGGCTGAGTAGGCGGGGCCTCTGAAGCCTTGGAGTCTGGGCTCAGTCATCTTTCTGTCCTTTTACTGAGGAAGCTGAACCTACTTAAAGTGATTAAGGAGGACTCTAAGTTATTGAATATTCACATCCATTTGAGGGGATGGACTTCTAACTAGTCTTTTGGGGAGCGCCTAAAAATAATCACAATCCAGGGGTATGTTAGGGTAGGTTAGACTTGGCTAAACGAAGGCTAAAATACTGGAAACGAGTCACGGAAAAGGTTTGTAGCTTTTTTAGTGGAAATCTGAGGGACTCTAGCCCTGCAGTTTCCAAACTTTATCTTTGAATAATAGCAAAGTACTTAAATGAAAAACATAAAGCTGGGTGTGGTAGTTCATGCCTATAACTCTCAGAAGGCTGAGGCAGGAGGATTGCTTCAAATTTGAGGCCAACCTGGACTACACAGTGAGTTCCAGGCCAAACTAAGCTACCAAGTGAGAGCCTGTCATAAAAGACAAAGGAAGAACCAAAAATAAAACGAAGAAGAAAGAGCCTACTGTGTAAAACGGATCAAAGTGGTGCTTCGTTGGAACACGTTTGACTCATGAGGATGTTGGAGCAGCTTTGGTGAAGTGAAACGTGGTTGTGGGCTGAGGGTGAGAGTTCTAGTGTGGAGGGGTCTGAGCCAGTATTTCTGGCCGTTGCTTTGTGTCCAGGAAAATGGTGATGCAGGCTGGAAATGAACGGCATCTGATAACAGCTTGAGCTGGTTCTCTTGAAAGCCTGTCTTGTGACTGAACAGAAAAGCCTGTGGGATTTGGTCTATACACAAGTGGGCCCGACTCTTTAAGCTAGTTTTAGTATGCTTTTTAAATTAGTATTGTAATAACTTGTAAGGTAAAATAATTAATACAAATTAAATGAGAATCAGTTGTCTGAAGCATCAAGGATTTGCCATTTTGCTACAGCCCAAATAGCTTTTTTCTAATTCTCTTCCTCCGCTCTCCTGCAGGTGTGGGTCCTGTGGTCGCCGGGGTGTTTTCGGCCCTCTTCATGCTGGCGGTCCTCATGCTGATATACCACTGCTGTAGGCAGAACAAGAAGCTGGGCAAGCCCTCAGCCCTCCCTTTCAAGCTGAGGCAACAGTTTAGGTGGGGCAGGGTGCTTTGCCTGGGACTTGGGGAGTCCCTTCTAGATCACAGAGCCCTTCACCAGCAGTACCTTGTAAAAGAGTTGGTGGTGGTAGGTCTAATTCAGGGAAGATGAATGCAGGGAACACCCTGTCCTCACATGTTCTGTGCTGCTCTGTCACCATGGCAGACATTACTAGATGATCTGATTATAACTTTCTACTGAGCCTGGTCATGGCTTGAAAATCCTTCTTAGTAGAAAGTTCTCAGCCAGTTCAAACTGGAATACATAAAACTTATTTGCCATTCTTCATCTGATTGATTTGTACCTCATTTTAAAGAGCAGAAAATTGAGGCAACAGAAGAGGGATGATGACTAGTTGAGGTCAGTTGCAGGGATGGCTAGACACTAACCCAAGAAGACTGCTGATTCATCCCTTTGGATAGTAGCGAAGCATATTCTCAAAGCTTGCTGTTAGGGCAGGAATTTTTCTACCCTGGATCTTTCTAGATACATGCCTTAGGAGGTTGGGTGATGACATTCTGAGTCTCCTTAGTGGGGAAAGTCCTTCAGAAGGCAAGGAGAGAAAGCTCCACTTTGTACCAGGCCAATCTCTTCTTTGGGTGTTCCCTGCCGGCCACACGTGTGTCCTGACTTAGGAGATAGGATCATCCCACTTCCTCCAGAGGAGAGTTAGATTTGTCAGTTGGCCTGGGTCTAGGGCTCAGTCTCTACCCCTTCCTGAACATCTTCCTTCCCCTCCATTCTCTGTTTCCAGTTGTCCTTTCAGGGTGTCTCAAGGTGGCGGAACTGGCCACGCCAACCCAACTTTCAAGTTGCAGACACCCCAGGGCAAGCGAAAGGTAAGAGTCTTGCCAGTTGACCTTGATTACCTTCTCCGTTTTCTCTGGTGGGTTATCCTAAGAATTTATGTATGCCTATGGGATTAGGAATAAAAGCCATGTTATTGGCTTGGGAGACGTGTCAGTTGTCTCTAATGTCCTCTGGAGACTTTAAAGGCTTCATCTGATGCCTGGGATCCTAGGGGTTTAACAGGTCAGGCTGTCTGCCCCACCTGAGGCCTCTGGTCACCTATTGAGACACACACATAGAACACCCTTAGTCTTCAACACATTGAAGATTCCTTACCTCAGCTCTTTCTTCATCTCATGCATGTAGGTGACTAACACTCCTGAAACCCTCCGGAAGCCTTCCCAACCTCCTCCCCGGCCCCCTCCAGGCGCCCTACATGGTGGGTCCCCACCTGTACCACTGCCAGTACATTTGAACAGGGTGACTAGGAGCTCTCCAGGGCCCGGGGCTCAAGTAGAGAGAAAGGAGTCGGCCAGGAGGCCTCCCCCAAGCCGGCCTGTGCCCCCTGCACCAAATTGCCTCCTGAACCAGGTAAGTGGATCCTTATTGACTCTGGGCTGATCATTCCCCGTTACAGACCCCCTGTAATGAGGGACACTGGGAAGGTGTCCTCGCTGGGTCTGACTACCTTTTCTGTGTTCTGGGGAAACCAGTGGGCTCCCAGAGGGTTATTAACGAGTGCACAATGTCCTCCCTGGACAGTCCCTAAGTCACAATGATGCTTCCTTCCTACTTTCCACCCAAAATTAACTTCTTTCAACTTCCCCAAGCTTTTCATGCCTCCAAGGCATTGCAGAGCTATTCTGCCCAGTACACACTTTCTCCCTTTGTGTGGCCAGCTCCTATTCACCCTCAGCTGTGACACTAGAGCCACTCCTCCCATAGAACTTCTTTTCCCCCCTGGGTCTGAGCCTGGTGCCTCTCTCCATAGTACCTGACCCTCTAAATTCTACCTGCTGGTATCTCCCACTCACTGGGGAGTCTTACTGAAGGATGTCCCCTGATGCCTTGCTCATTTGAGGGGGTCTCTAGGAGGTGACATGTCTAGGCTATCCCTCTCCCCGGTGACTGGCACTCAGAGAACAGAGATGCTGCCCAGTGGGTTATTCATTTGGTATGTATGCTCTACCAGTTCCCTAGTGCAGAACTGGGCTGTGGCCCAGAATGGTGGCTTTTAGAACTTTGTGTTTGGATATGACTCTTCAGATGACTGCGTTTCTTTGGTATGGTCTTGAAAACTCCCTAGAGCCTGGACTGCTCTGATCTTATTAAGGACCATGGAGTTGGCTGCAGGCTTAGGATGGTCCCTAGGACATGGTGCAGTGAGAGGTTGTGGCAGAGCTGAGGGTTCCCATCCAGAACAGCAGTGATACAAAGTTGGTTCTGTGCTGTAACACTGCTCCTCTTGAGTTCCTCTGTGTGAGACTGAGGTGTGATGGGAAATCCACATAGAGGTGTAAAGGGGAGAGGGGAGAAGAGAAGGGTAGAAAGCAAGACAGGAGAAAATGAAAGGGAGAGGGAGAACATTACTTCCAAAGAGAAACATTTCATTGAAAACACATGATTTTGGAAGGAAAGTCAAGATTTTGAGCAGAAAACTTCATATATAGAGAGAGAAAGAGAGAGAGAGAGAGAAAGAGAGAGAGAGAGAGAGAGAGAGGGAGAGATCAAGAACAGAGAGCACCAGCAGTCATTGCTGTCTGGAGGCTAAAAATCCAAATCAAGTTAACTGTTTGGTTCCCACAAGGCCTCTGTCGTTAATTTTTAGTGTCTAACTGGTGTCGCTGTGCCCTCATAGGGCTTTCCCTCTGTCCTTGAGCCTTTCTCCTGTCTCCTGGATCCACAGTTCTTTCCCTAAGGACACTGTGATGGACAGCTTTAGTGTCAACTTGACTCACCTGGGTTGAGGGAGCCTCAATTGGGGAATTGCCTCTATTGGACTGGCCTGTGGCCATGTCTGAGGGGCATCTTCTTGATGAGTGATATGGGAGGGCCCAGCCCACTGTGGGTGGTGCCACCCCTGGGCAGGTGGGCCTGTGTTGCATAAGAAAGCAGGTTGAGCAGGGGCCAAAGGAGCAAGCCTGTAAGCAGCATTCCTCCATGGCCTGTGCTCCAGCTTCTGCCTCTAGGTTCCTGCCTTGAGTTCCTACCTTGGCTCCCGGAAGAACTGTGACCTGGGAGATGTAAGCTAAATAAACCCTTTCCTCCCTAAGTTGGTACTGGTCAGAGTGTTTTGTTACAGCAATGGAGAAACGAACTAGAACAGACACCAAACTGGTTTAGGACCCAGAGCCCTAATGGCCTCATTTTCATATAAACCACCTCTTATTTTCTTTTTAAACATTGATTTATCGATCATTTATTATTTTGGGGGGAGGGGACAGTGTGTGGAAAGATGTTAGAGGAAAACTTTCAGAAGTCAGCTCTCTCCTTTCACCATGTGGGTTCCAGGGATGAAACTCAGGTCGTTAGGCTTAGTGGCAAGTGCCTTTATGGGTTCAATCAGCTCGGTACTATTGTCAGCCATGGAGCAAGGCAGTCTCCTTCAGAGGCAGTCCTGTATTAATTCACCTTCAAAGTGTCAGCTATAATTTTATGGTGCAAACTGAGCATGCCCAGACTCCTTTTCTACTCACCACTTTAAACATGTACTCCATGACCTTGAGCTAAGTATGCCTGAAAAATGTGTCTATTGTCCTTTCTTTGTGAATTATGACCTTAAGCTGAGCAAGTTCAGGAACGTGCTCCATAGCTGGGAGTGCTTAGGAATGGCCGACCTCCATATGGATATGAATAGTTCCCTCTAGATAAAGTTCCTAGTGCTTACGTAAGTTATTAACACCCATTACCTTTCCACCTTCCCCTTCAGCTCCCCGACCTCTGCTTCTTTTATGCCTTAGCTTTGCTTAGTTTGCTTTGCATTCATGGAGATGTAAACCAGTTGCTTTAGGTTACAATAGCGGACTGGCTACTCTGGTAGGTGCAGTGTGGACATTGCGATAAGGCTCTAGGCTCCTCTGTAGATAACAACCCCCCTGGGGCTCATTTTGCAGCTTCCCAACTGCATCCTGATGCCCACACCCAGCTGTCTTTCCCTAGAAGGTCTGAGTCCTCCCCAGCAGTCCTGGCTCCAGCCCTGCTTCCGTAAGATCAAAATCCTCACTCCCTAGCCTGCTCACCCCACCCTGGGCTCTCTGTGGAATTGACTGGTATCCCTCTCTGGGAGAGATGCTAGTCATTCATTTAATCAGCTTTGAGTGCTGTGTTGAGTGCTTCCAGCGTATCAGGCTTCCAGAAGCCTGAGATGTTCTCATGACCCTGACATGCAGGCCCCCTGCCTGGCTTCTACTCTAGTTGGAGTTAGAGAAGGGGAGAAAGAGAAAATAAAAACCAGCTTAATAAGTCAGTGCATTATTTATGTGGGAAAATAGAAGTGATACAAAAATAACTAGAGCTCAATTAGAGTTAGCTAGGTGTGATCATGCACACCTTTAATCCCTGTATTTGGGAGGCAGAAGTCAAGAGGATCTCTGTGAGTTGGAGGACAGCCTTGTCTACATAGTGAGTTCCAGGCCAGTGAGTGCTACGTGGTGAGACCCTGTCTCTATATAAATAAATGGATGAATAAGTAAATAAATAAATGGTTAGGGATACCATGTGCCAGCGTAGGGATTGTAGTAATTTCAAATAAGGTAGTCGGGGGGCTGGAGAGATGGCTTATCAGTTAAGAGCACTGGCTGCTCTTGCAGAGGATTCCCAGCACCCACCTGGCAGCTAAAAACTGTCCGTAACTTCAGGCCTAGGGGAATCCGATGCCTCTTCTGACCTCCATGGGCATTGTGTGACGTGAGTGCACTTATATACATGCAAGCAAATAAATTCATATGCATACAATAAAAACAACAAATAAAATATTAAAAAATAAGGTAGGGAGGTGAAGAATGAATGAGATAATATTCATACACAGAAGGAAAATTTCCCCGTAGCTGTGGGACCCATAGTCAACCACTGTGAACAAACAAACTTGCTTTCTTCTTTCTTAAAGGTTAATTTGCCCAGGTATTGCACACATGGTCTTCAAGAGATTGAATGTTCGGTGGAAGATGTAGCTCAGCCAACAGAGTGCTTGCCTAGTATGCACAAAGCCCTAGATTAAGTCCCCAGCACCACGTAAAACCAGGCGTTGTGGTGCACACCTGTTAATCCCAGAACTTGCTGTAATCTCAGAACTCGGGAGGTAGGGGCAGAAGTTCAAGATCATCCTGGGCTACATAGCAAGTTTGGGAGTTTGAGGCCAGCCTGGGCTACGTGAGACCTTATCTTGCCACCACTTCCTCCTGCCAAAAGAAATTTTCCTGGCCTGTGCCCACCCACTTCCACCCTATCCCAGGGTAACCACTGTTGTTAGTTTGGTCTGGCCTTGTCCTGGTTGTCCTCTGTTCAGTTCTAGGCAGGGTTCGGTGGTCTGTTTGATACACACTCTGCTTCAGCCTTTTCTTTTAGCAACGCCTTTCTCATCAGCTCAAACCCACCCGTTTCCTGCTTTCTACATGTGGCAGCATGTACTACTTTGTACTTTTAGATTTTTTTCTCTACCAGTGGAAACTTTAGATGTTTCTGAGTTCTTTGATATTATAAACAGTGCCACAAGGAACATCCCTGCAAAACATTTTTGTGTACCTGTGCAAGCAGTTCTCTAACACAGACAACAGAAAGTGTGATTTACATGCCAGAGAGGGATCATTTCCCATTTTATTAGATATGACCAGCTTGGTTTTCCAAAAGGACCCCCTTTTTTCTAAGCATGTAAAAACATTATAGACAAACACACCCATAGACGCACACACACACAATTCCTTTTGAAGTGGGACCATGCAGTATGTATGCTACTTTGTCTGATTTTTATCCATACAGTATTAGGCATATTTTCTTTCAAAAGGTACACTGAAGTGTGACTTCTCATTTCTTGCAGGATTTCTCCAGGCCTCAGCCACCCCAGAAGGCACTCCCAGCAAATCCTGTGCCAGGCCGCAAGACCCTCCCCAGGCCAGGTGGTACCCCCCTGCTGCAACCGCCTGCTGCTCTTCCTAAGCATCCCCAGCCCCTGGCAGCACCTGTTCCAAAAGTGAGTCTCCAGAGGTATCCAGCAGCACTGTGGGGGAGGGCGGGGGTGTGGCTGAGGAGGCAGACCAGTTCGCTCTTCTCACAGCATGTACTAAACTTCCAGAATAGAAGCCAGGAGCACAAACGGCCTTCCTTGGAGCCTGCTTGGCTGTCCCTTACATGAGCAAGAGAGTAACTTGTCTTCATGTAAAAGGTGGTGCTCAGAAGTCTGAGCTCTGGTCTGGTAGTTTTCAGCTGCCATGGCACCTGAGTAGCTGGGCCACCCCAAGCAAGTCCTTAATTTATTAAAAAAAAAAAAAGACGTAAGAATGGCCAGCAAGATGGCTCAGCAGGTAAAGGTGCTTGCTGCAAAGCCTGATGATCTGATTTCAATCTCCTGGACCCACAAGATGGAAGGAGAGAACTGACTCCTGTGAGTTGTCCTTCCACAATGTTCTGTGCGCTGCCAACATACACATGCACAAAGTAAGTAAAATATAGTAAAGGAAGGAGTGAGAACAGGAACCAGTGCCATGAGGCTACTGTGGAAGGTGAGACTATTAGTTTATATAAATCCCCTGGCTTGCAACCCTTTTCTTAGTACTTTCCTGTGGGCCACATGCTTCTGCTTAGCCTAGGGTGCTGGGTCTTCAGGGTGAGGTGAGGAGGTGGCTGACAGCCCCTTTATTCCCTTGAAACACTGTATTTTGCTGAAGTTTTACAAAAGAGAGGAGGGCCGACTTGCCAGCTTTGGGGGTGGGGTGCCCACCTCACTCCCTGCAAGGACTGACGGCGCTGGTGAACCGTCATAGGGACAGACTTCTGAAAATCATGCAAGTTTTTCTGGCTATCAAACAGAGAAGACAGCTGCCCCGTGACCCTCTGTCCAGCACTGAGCTCAGACCTTTCTTCCTCCCATCTCTATCTTTACAGTTTCCTGAGTACAGATCACAGAGGATTGGAGGGATATCTAGCTCCAAGATCTAGAACTATCTGGAAGTTTCTTGCTCCCCTTGAAGACTCTGGATGCCATGGAGGGTCCAGAAGAAAGAAGCCTACCTGACCATCTTGGAGTTTCTCCAGCCTCCTAGCTCTCCCCATCTCTGGAGTCTGCCTTCTTGATTCAGTGCCTCCCTGCTTCCTTGGAGGCCCAGAGGGACTTCTATCCGATGACTTCTAAGTGTTGTTTTGTGCAATATACAGCCCGGGTAGGGAAGGGAAGCACATAGAGGAGGATGGGGGCAGCTTCTCCCTCAGCCTCCTGGCCCCAGGGGGAGGGGGGCAGTGATGAAGATGGTCAGAGAAGTGTGAGCTGGTGACCTCTGGGAAAGATGCTTAGTGACTCCTACTGGGCTAAGGTTGGAGAGTCACCCACCCAAGTCTCTAGGTCGAGGGTATACACAAGAGCTTCTATTGTTTTTAATCTCGTTTAGGATCCCAGGATGCACAGAGGCTGGCCCTTACCCGTCCCTTGTATCTTTTAGGGACTGAGGAAGGGTCAAATTAACCACTGTTGCATCTCTGCCCAGGCCTTGGTCAAGGTGATGGCTCCTGGCTATTTGGCTGCATGTAACAAGCCGTGCCCCTCCTCAACCACCGCTCACGTCCCCATCACCTTATTCACATGAGTCACTCTCTGACTCAGACAGGTACTATTTGTAGGCAGTGTAGACAGCAGAGGAGGTACCAGCCTGAGCCTCCTCTGAGCCATGATGCCAAAGGTTGCTAGGACCCTCAGAGTCCCTGGTTGTATCCCCATGCTCCAAGCGTTACTTTCTCCTCCCCCGACCTCCCTATCCTAAGGTGCTTTGGTGTTGATCCTCAGCAGTCCTGACTTGCTGCTGACAATGTGCTTGTGACCTATGAATCAGGATCCTGCCTCATGAGGTGGCCACTGGCCTTCCCACCCTGGATCTTGAGAGCATTAAGCCTAATGGGCTTGGCGGGGTGGTGGTGGGAGTGTCACAGTGCTGCTTGTCATTGTGTTTTGTGGCCTCAGCAGGGTGAGGGGGCGCTCTCCTTATCCCTAACCTATATATATATACAGGTGAGGTTCCCCAGGACGACCACAGGTATAAAGGGAACAGACATCCTCATCTAATAGGTCCCCAACTATTAGAAAAGTACGCATGGGGGAAGAGGGTCAGCTCTCCGGCTTGAGGTGGGAATGTTGACTCTCAGCAGATAGCAGACCTCTTCGGAAGCTGTTCACAGCCATGGTGGATCAGATCTAGGGCCCCCAACTCTCTTCTCAAGCAAACTTTTATTACCCATTGGTCATTTCCTGGTCACTGCCCATATGTGATCCTCTCAGAAAGAGCTCTGGGCAGGTGGGGATGGGACTTGGGTAGATCCCATCTTCCCTGGGGCTCAGAAGGGGGGGCTACATGGTGCTCTGCTAGATAGACAGTTCTTACAAATTTGCTGGGCTTGGCCTCTGAGAGGCCATCTTCCACCCCCAGAAAGGTGCTGGGCAGCTTTGCAGAGGGGCCTCTAGGGACCTCCCTGCCACCTATAGCAAGCAGTTGTTTACTATCAGAAGCCTCCACGAGGAGGGGACTGAGATTTGACTCCCCACCTAACAGCTCAGGGCTTCTTTATAGTTCTTTGCACGTAGTAAGTAGGAGATGTGGGTCAGGCACCTGGCAAAAAGCATGGGCTGGGGGTAGAACGATCTCAGGAAAGTGCTTTTTTCTTCCTCAGGGTGGCCATGCCATTCACATTGTGTCTCCCTCACATGAGTTCTCCTTGGCCCAGGTCCAGCTTCCACTTTCTCATTGCCTGATCCATTTAAGCGCTACACCAAATGTCCAATGCCTAGAAGGCTCAGTCCCAGAAAAGGTGACCCTTCCTCACCTCATATCAGAGAGTAACCAACAAGGCACTTCCCTTAAACCAAACCCCTCATCTCCTAGAAGTACCTATGGCCCACACAGCCTTTCTCCCTCATATCAGGGGGCAGGTGACTCTGAGTGATAATGCCACAGCCATGGTACTGACATGAGCCTTTTAAACCTGAAGTTCTCTGTCCCTAGAATCTACCAGAAAAGAGACCTGGTTGTTATTGCATTTTTGATTATTATTGTTTAATTTTGTTTTCTTCTTTTCATTACTTTAATACCACCTCCATTCCATACGCTTATACTGTGAACTGGAAGAGGGTAGAATTTTTGAATTTAGTACAGATTTTTGGCAGCCTTTTTGTTCACCATTTTATCCTGGCTCTGTTTGGCAGGCCAAGGAGGTTTCTGGGTGAGAAACCCTCCCCTCTGCTTCGAGGGCCCATACAGATACATCTGGACTTAGCAAAGGAGAGACTTTGCTCCAAAGGATTGTCACAAGAAGGGGAAGAAGAGACTTGCCATAGAAAGGGGAGGGGGCTGTTGCAACAGAACACTTGGGCCAACCACCCCAAGTCTGCAGGTACCAAAGCCCAGGCAGAAAACACCTTTTCTATATGGAAGAAGTGAACAAGACTAGAAAATAACTCTTTAGGAGATCTTTTTATGCCCAACCACTTGGGAGAGGAGTTGCCTGTCAGCTGATGCTGAGGGTAGGTCAAAGCTCAGGGTCTAGAGGGGAACAGAGGAAGGAAGGAAGCATAACAGGATTTGGCCTGTTGAGTCAATATATACGTCACTCAGTTGGAGAAGGGTGTACATTTTTTTTTTTTTTTAATTTGAGATAGGATCTCGTGTATTCCAGTTTGGCCTTTAACTCACTGTGAAGCCAAGGATGACCTTTGAACTCCTGCCCCTCCTTCCTCCACCTGTTAGGTGCTGAGATTACAGGTGTATGCCACCATGCCTTGGTGTGGTGCTGGGATCCAACCCAAGGCTTCATGCATGTTAGGCAAGCACTCTACCCACTTGAGCTACATCTGCAGCCCAGGATGTAAATCTTTTTAGAAGCTGAATTAGCTGCCTGCCAACTTTAGAACCCTGAAGCGGATTTCTGAACTGTAAACCTCAGGGAGACAGCAGCCCTGCTTCCCAGTCTCCTCGGTGGGAGGTTTAGCCTGGGTCCTCCATGTTGTAGCTGCCTGCTTGTGCTCAGTTCCTTTTAGCCATGCCGACTTCCACTAATGGTAAAAGCCCTTTTCTGCCCTGCTCCAAGACACTTGCAGATTGTATAGTCTGAGTAATCTCTGAGATGCTATAATCCCTTCTGCTGGAAGAGCCCTTCGCCACCTTGCAATGAACTGTTTTCATAAAGCTCCCCCCCCGCCCCAGATTTCAGTTAATTTGCTTCTTTGACAAAGGGATGTAAGACTTGTAGTTTTAAAGTCGGAGGTCAGCTCTAAAGCCAGTCATGTCATCAAATACGTGTAATAACAGCCCCGCTGGGAGCCCCCACGCAAGCCGGGGAACACCAACTGGAAAGGTGCCCCCTCCCTAGGAAAGCCTGCTGAGAGAGGTTCTGTAGAATCCAAGCCCAGCACCCCCAAAGCCACCCTCCCAGTGTCCTCGTGCGCCACTCACTATGTGTACGTCTGTGTCTGGGATCCAGGGTAAATGTGAATTTTCTTTTTATTTGGGAGATTGTTCACAGAAAACAGGTCCTCTTCTCTCTTGTTCACCTATTAATTGTTTACAATATTTGTACATCTATGCAAAATACTTGAATGGGCCATGGTGCCTTTTTTTTTTTTTTTCCTTGTTTGTATTTAATTAAAACAAATTGTCATTTGGAATGCTATCTGTTTGGGTAACTCTTCTTTTGTGCGTGTCGATGTCCCAGTACTTGGACCACTTAGGATAAGTGACATGTGGACCCAGAATGTGATCCCGCAGAGACCAGCAAACTTCCTATGAGGCCATGACCCTGAGCCATAGCAAAACCCAGGGTTTCCCATGGTCAGTAGGGGGGGCTGCTTGCTTTGGATCTCTACAAAAGATGATCTAAGTGAATTAAATCATGGATCATTAAAGTCTTTAACGATCTTGAAATTCTAATACATCTTCTATACTGTTGCGCTTAACGGATAGCCAAGACCCTCTGTCAGCACCTCACCTTGCTAGGGGTTGGACTGAAGGGAGAGGCTTGTCCAAGATCTCTTGGACTGGGTGGGCAGGTGCAGGAGGACCAGGTTGGATGTGCTTTAGACTCCCCAGGGCTGTGTGATAACACCCTCGTGCTTATTTAACTCCCAATCTCAGTTTGAAGTTTTCTAAGACAAGCAATGATAACCATGAGAGGGTGCAGTACCCACTGAGGGTTCAGCCAGTGTGAGGCACTGTGTCATGTGATTACCTCATTCATTCAATAGAAATACTGGGAGAGCATCCTTGATATGTGAGAAACTCTCTACCATGCCTGGTTCCTGGTAAGGGCTCAGGCATCAACGGAGGATGAGTGCTCTTCAAAGGTGTCTGTTCCAAAAGCAACCTTCCCCACTTGAGTGAGGGCAGAACTTTGGAAGACCCTGAAGGACTTTGCCTTTTTAGAAACTAGGGGCCGGCCTCCCAGCATATGTGAGGAACCCATTGAATCCTATTGCTCCTTGTTCAAGGAAAGCAAAACACATATTTCAAGTAAACACACTCTGAAGGTTTTATTCTCGGCGCCAAGAACATAAGCTTGGGGGGGTTTCCCAAGATTCAATGTGTTGCATTGATTTTTTAGTTATTGTCAGTCAGAAATCCACATTCATGAAAAAACTGGGGATTTGAGGTGGAAATGTTCAGGGGCCCAGAGTGTTGATCTGCCCTTGGAACTCCAAGGCCAGAAAGACTTTGGCCTGGATGCGGCTGCACTTAGGGGACCAGATGTCAACATAGCAAGCAGGTAGGGAGCTTTGCACGATAGCTCTGCACCTTCACAGGATGGCTGAGGATCAAGTCTTCCCTCTTTTCTACAAACTGGCCCATAACATCCCTTTCTTAGGGTCCTTGTGCCAGCCCTATACCCTTGCAGCTGGAAGAAGGGAAGAAAAAGAGCCCAGTTATCTCCAGCTGTTCCTCTTCTATGCAGACTTCTGGCCAAATGTGAGGGCACCAAAGGTGGCCCCCAGGGGAGGGCGATGTTGGAGCATTCCTGGTACATGGTTGTGATGCTTCCACTGTGAGGAGTTAGCTTGTCAGTTGAGATGGACTCAGTCACAATAAGGCCAACACCCAGAATAAACGCTGTGCCACACCTGTACTTCCACTTGGTCATTGAGATTCAAAGCCGATCCCATTAGCCGAGGCCTATAAAGTTGCTACTTAGAAATGACTCAACACCTTCTTGGCCTGAGTTCCTGGTTGGGTTTCAGAGTTGGCCCAGATGTTATCTCCGGGTTTCCGGAGAGCCCATGACTACTTTCTTGCCAATCTTGACATTGTTCCTCACACTTTCTCCACCTCCCTGAATCACAGTCTGGTCTACGCCTTGAAGCAAAGCAAGTTGCATTCTCCCGAGTTCCAGCTCAACAGCTGGGTTGCTTTGGAGAGCAAAGGAACTGCTGGTCTCTTTCCAGAGAAGACTAAGAAACAGATGGGATTTGGACAGCAGAGCTGGGCTGAGGCATCTCCTGTTGTTGGATTCTAAGATTATAGCTTGCATGTCTCAGTGGCTGGTGCCTTGGAATGGATAGAGAGGGAAAGGGTGGCATTGACATTGCATGGACGGACCGAGAGATGCGACCTCTAGGCTGGAGTGCTTGGAGAAGGGGGCAGTTGAAACGTCTCAGTAAGAAGGCTTTCACAGTAAGAAGGTGAAGAGCTAACAAAAGCAGCAGACCACTCGGCTCCCTCTGTGCACCTCAAGATGGAGAAGCAGATTGCTCTCTGGGTCTCTGCAGGATCCATTCTTGGGCTAAGAACTGGCAGTTCAGTCTCTCAGGAAAATCAGTGTAAAGGATTTCCTGATGACCAATGTCTGAGGGCAGTTCTAGAACTGGGTTACATTCAGCAGGTCAAATTCTATCTTCTCTCCAACAACACAGAGATACCACTGAGGGAACTAAAGGGAAGGGAGGCCCAGGGGCTTTCTGGCTCCAACAGAAACTAGGGGATTTGGTCATTGAGGCTGTGTCTCTAGGAAGTTTTGCCACCACCCTTTACTGGGTAGAGATTTTTTTTTTTTTTTGTCCTAGAAACAGCGATGAGGTATAAACGACAATCTCAAGACAGCCCTTGGCAACAGCTGTGCTGAAGGTAACCAGGTGGTTTTGAACACGAGAGGTCAGGCTGGACCATGGGGCTCCTCTTCTAGTTTATTCCAGGCTCTACGAATTGATCATAAATACTTTGGGCTTCTGTTGTGGTGATGGCGTGCTGGCAAGTTCTATGTTGTCCACAAGGACATTCTTGTCTTCTAGTTTAATGACAGTGGGCTCTGGGGCAGGAGCTGGGCCTGTGTTTTTGTGCATGTGTGGCAAGCTGATTTGGCTGACATCCAAGTCTTTGAAAGCATGAAGCATGAATACACCCAAGATGATAGAGACAAAGCCAGACAGGGTGCCCACAATGTCCAGGGCAGACATGGTGTGCCACTCCTTGAAGAGGATAATGGAGGAGACCACTACCACTGTGGTAAATAACACATAGTAGATAGGGAAGACCAGTGAGGTGTTAAAAATGTCCAGCGCCCTGTTGAGGAAGTTGACCTGTATGATGATGGAAAGTCCCAGGATGAGGGACAGGATGTAGGGAAGGGGGTGCCGCACAACCGGTAACCCCCTGAAGAAGTTGTTGATGGTGATACCCAGGCCCTTGACGGCAGTCACAGAGAAGGATCCAATCACAGAGCAGATGATGATGTAAATGAGAATGTTCCTCTGCCCATAACGCGGGGCAACGATGAAGATGAGGACGAGGCAGAGCACCACCAGAAGCACAGCAAATACTACGAACCCTTCGGGAAGGAGGAACATAGATCATTCAGTGAAGGATGCAGACATCTAGGGCGCAGACCCATGGCAGGGGGAGGCTGCTCTACTGTCAGACATACCTGGGCTCTGGCACCAGCTTCTGACCTTTTGGTAACTTGTGCAAGTTATTGAACACCAAAGCTCTCAGTAGCCCCATTTGTAAAATAGGAC